ACAATGAGTATTGTTTTTGTATTGCCATGTACAATTCAACTTTATTGACAATCCTTAATTTCAAGAAGTATTTTGAAAATGTTCAGGGGTATCATATAAAATAATAAATAACTATTATAAAATTTTAATTAGGCCTACTTCTAATTAAAAAATTTTAATCCTTAAATTAAAAGTGAAGACATTAATTTTTCTAAAATTATGCATATGGTATTTCCCGGCTGAGGAGCCATTTTTTCAACATGGTGAAAAAAAAATGTGTTACACCCCATCACCCACCCACGCCCACTCTTATTGGCCGGACCACTTGCAAAGTGCTTCCAACGGCTATGGAACAAAACATAGAGACAGGACTTGGCGCATAATATAGTCCTGTATGACTTGAATTATTTGTAGGACAATAGAAATGTATTTTTGTTGGTTCACTGTTGTTTATAATCATGTAAATTAAGTAGGCAATAGACGTATTGCATGCAAATAACATAAATTTAGTTTTTACCTCTATACTATGATTAAACAATGGGCTTATGGGCCATAAATCAGGCATCAGGACTCAGCAGTCACTAAAATTTTAACATGTTTATGATAAAGTGTTTACTTCCTCTGGGCTGCTATGTTGAATTTAGCAGAACTAATAAGAATACCATCTTGGGAGTATAGTTCAGGGTTTAATTTTAGATCTGAGTAGAGAACCCCTAAATCGTAACGCACGTTTGGCTTGTTTGAAGCATACAGTGAAGAATAGGACCACAGAAAGTACCCAGTGATCGATTTTTGGCGCTATTTACCTATTCTGTTTATGGCCTACATATCATCTTGCTCATTTTTCAAACCATTCCATGCACATTACCCAAGAGTTGCGTTTTTGTCTTTACTTTATTGAAAATGTATTCTTCATCCAACTTTTATTATGTTTTATAAATTATTTTTTCATTATTTTGTTTTTTCTTCAGGGGCCAAATTAAATTGCCTATTAGGAACAAGGGATTTATGGGTGTTAACATTAACGTGGATAATGGATAAAATTCCTGAAGAAATGTCAGCTCGACAGTCGCTCCAAATATGGAATGGAATGGAATAATTTTTAAAATGTGATTATAAGTCTACAGTAGGGATAAATTCGGTCTTAATTTGAACCAGCTATTCAATGTTAATGCGGTCGTTGTGAATGAGAGGTATCGAGCGCAGAACGCCGTTTAAATAAGGGTCATACTATTGATGTTCTGCTAAATAAAGATCATAAATCACAAGGAAAAAATAAATTATATAATTAACGGACATAAAGAAAGTGCTAGGGCATGAATTCTCCAAAACGGCCATGCGATCCAATGTGCCTCTTCTTGTCGAAATCTTGACTCCGCACACCTCCCATGGTAGGCCTGAAGTGTAGACCTCCTGCCCTGCGCTTGAATTGTATTTTGAAGTAATTTGGTAAGTCTGCATTCCATTTACACCAGGTTCAAACTTTCACCCGGCATGAAAATAGTCTCATGGTGATAGCAACCCACTATAAAAGGCAGCGTTTATAAGTAGGCCTATGAAAACTAGTATCGATGCTTACAACAGGCTTATAAAACAATCACCAGATACTTTGATAATTTGACACATACACATATTTCGTTTATTATATATATATATGTCTCAAACTATGTCAGTGTCCCGCCCATCCAGACATACGTGAAACTGTTGAACGCATCGGAAAATTATAACACCAGAGCGGATAACAATGCATGGGTTCCCTGTGGGAACGTGTGTCTATGCCCTCCGCCTGGCGTCACACGGTCAAATTCAGAAATTTTGGTTCTGTTTTCATTTTGACTGGAGTATGTAAACACTTGATATTCCATAGCCACACTATTACATTTTTTATCTATAACTTGTCAACTGATAGAAATTTTAGGGACAATCTAAATAAGGGTATAGGTTACTGATACAGGATTCCTCTGCAGGTCCCTATCATTTCCAGTGATCTATCGTTCTGTGCTGTAATTGGCTGATGATTTCCAGATATCATAAAAAATCTGATGGAAATAGAAAATGTTCTATACTTTCCAGTTCGTTTTCCATCACTGTGGATACCCAAGGGGACCACAGGTTAAAGCAGTAAAATCACTGATTAAAAATTCAGTTTTTGTCCATCCAGAGTAAAAATGATTAATATTTTTTTGTACTTAGTTTGAATCCCAAGTGATTTCACTGTAACCCCTTACCCAGGGTGAGGGGGGGGGGGTGTTTATGGTTCGGAAAAACCTCCCTTTTCTAGCAAACACACCTCTTTTCTGCTATTACCCGTATAGGTCTATCAGTAGGTATACCCAGTATACCCAGTTAGTAGTCTACTAATGGACATCATGGAGAAAATAAAGGCGATGAGCGAAGATGCATTGGACATGCTTAAATTTCACATTCATGGATCCTGAATAAAGACTTTCTGAAAGCTTAAGAGATTACAGTAGGCCCTAGGCCTACTATTTTGTTGTTGAAGCGAAGAAGAATACAGTTATTTATTTATTTGTGACACTTCACCTTTGTATCGATGGCACTCACAGTCAGTGCTGCGGTCTTACAAAATACACAAAAGAAAAAGGAGATAAGAATCTTAACATTAACAATCAATACTTTAACTACAGTGTACATGTACAAATACAACTTATGCCTACCTGTGTTTATATTTTCTGATTGTTTAATGTTGGCACTTCCTTCAAATCCGTCAATCAGTGTTTCTCTGACAGTCAACCAATTTCAACTGATGGATGAAATATAACGCTTATAATGTTCGTCAACTGTTAGGTAGGCATAAAGGTTACTGGTATCTTGTCGATGGCAATGTTGAGAAGGTTTACTCGGTGATCAGGTGAATGACACTGCGTAGTTACTAAATATAATATAGTATACAAACATACTACACATCGTACACAGGTACGCAATTCTTCTTTCACTGCTTTAGGCAACACAAATAAAGAAGGCATACATACCGATGCGGTCAATAAATAGAGTTCATAGACTTGAATTGGTGCCTAGCAACAGTGTGTCACACGCTTAATCAGCTTCAAGTCAGGTAAAAAAAATAGCAACGAACAAGTTTTGTTTCTCATTATTGTTTACTATATGAAACGGAGGGCCTACAGCAAAATATATTGCTTACCGTGTTAGACATGGCTTACGCCAGTTCTAGGTGGCTTTAAACTTAGCCAATTAGCCTAATAACCTTTTAATCTTATATAGATACATGTACTGTTATTAAATGATTAATTGACAATTAATGTTTTTAAATCTACGGTCGGGAACCTTTTACTCCTTAGGACGCAGAATTTTTCCCATAGCTTCTCACGACGGGTGGGATTGGTCCGGGGCATTCCCCTTCGAAATTTATGTTTTCTAGACGCTCGAAAATTTTATACTGTGTTGCTGATTTCATATACCGGTAAATGAATTTTTGCATTGAAAATTTAATATAAATTTGTTCTACTGTAACTAATTTTTTTAAGTCAATGAAAATAAAATGTTGTAATTTTTAAAAAATTATACCGAAGGTGTCCCCTTAACTATAGAGGCTCTACTCTATACAGTATCGAAGTACTGTACCGTAGTGTCTCGTAACAACAATATGATTTGATAAACATACTTATTAAAGAAAATCATTACCCAAAGCAGCTTTTCAATTTTATTTTCATGATTTGTTGATTTCCATCGGTTTAATCTGACCGTGTTAATTCTGACATTGGTTGCTAGCACCTTTGTCATGTTTTTGATTACAAATGCACGCTAATTTAGTAGGCACTAAGGCGTAAATGTCCCTCAATAGCAGACAAATAAGGAGCTGAGGATGTGAATGAGTGACACAGCACTGTAAGATGTCTAAAACTTTATTACAAGACCAAAACAAATATTTATGTATATTTTGAAACACAAACACTATTAAACAAAGGGCGGTGTAACTGAGATAGTACACTGCCGGCGCAAATTGAAGACAATAGCCAGAATTTTATCAAATTATTTTATTTAAAAAATGCTTTGTTTTGGTGTCTTTATGGGAATCTTCTGATTTTTAAAGTATTTGATTTTCTTCACAAAGCCTTTCTATATAATTTTTTTTTTTTTTGGAGACCCAGATCGATCCGCCGACGACCCTCAAAAAGTCATGGTGGGGATGATGTGGGTAAGGACTCAAAGTGCCGTTTTGTGAAAAATTAGAACCCACCCCTCTTCAAAAAAATCTGCCTACGGGCTTGTATAGGTATACTTTATGAGACATTCATGTGGAATTGTGCATGTTGAGAAACTTCTACAACCCCTCTACACCAGGCTACATCCTCGTCTTTTGGGACCAATAATTTCTTTAACCAACGGAACGTTTATGAACCCAATAAAACTTATTATCGTCGTCTTGGATTACAACTTCAAAATTATGATCTTTAAGGATGATCTGTTCAAATTCTTAACAAAGTTAAATGCAAAATCCTAACAGTAGATATTCGCCGTATTTTATGTAATTAACGTTGTAGTTTAACAATTTTTTGTAGAGCAATATTTACAACGTAATTTCTGACTAAATAACTTCTGTGTTAATAATGTCGCCGCAGAATGTTCTCAGTTTGCACGAGAAAACCCGAGATTATAAACGAACATTCATGGAAAAATATGGCATTGGTGTTGAAGACGATTTGAAAAAGGATCGAAGTGGATTTGCATGCATTGAGCATAACTAATGAAATGTCAAATATGCCTAAATTAATTTTAATATCCACTCAAATTGCAATGATTATATATATATATAATCAATACTCTTACTTGAATGCGCCATGTGTAACCTGACCGATAGACTGTAGTTTTGCAATACATATTTCCCTCGATGTAGTTTGGTAGCCCTTCAATAAATAGCCACAAATTCTAAAGAGCCATTTGTCTGATGCGCTGTCATTTAATTCAACAATGTTTAACAAAGCAGCTCTACTTTGATATGTTATATATTGTTTTAAATAATTATCAAATTTATTCTATTATTGCTATTATTACTGATACATGATACTATGATGCAATATTTCATCATCATTATTTTTTTGCTTTGCTCTTGAATTCCCCTATAGAAGGTAACTAGGATGCCACATATTGGAGACAGCAACTTTCATTAATTTATAGGCCAGAGAAAACAGTGCAGAGTGGGTAAATAATAAAAATGCATAAATACCTTTAACAGCTGGTGCCGATATCTTCTTAACAATTTGTGAACTAATTTACCATATTGAAATGTTGGTGATACAGCATAAGGTTCGGATAACGTCCATCTGCCCATTATGAAGCCGATTAATATCACTTAAACTATCTGTTTCCCATGTTCAATGGTAACTTATATTTGCTTACGGCATTCGAATGTTTGTTGACTGAATGTTCTGCATTGAAATGTTGAAGTTTACATAATAGTCCGAGACCTTGTAGGCCTACCATGGCCTTTTTTCTCTTTTGTTGTCTTAAAACAGATTAAAGAGATGATGAAGGCTTACACGCTTTACATTAACAGCACCAATGCAATTGAACGTCATCTGACCATACACTTAGGACCTCCGCGGAATTGTTTTAATTATTTGAATTTTTATTTCAGTGCTCCTTCCAAGGACTTATAAGTCATTGCTCCTTCTATATTGTAATTATTGTAAGTTGTTTTAATCATGAATATTTATTGTACTGTTATCAAATATTTGTTTAATGTTCCTAGCGATTAAATGTTTTATTGTATTTATGCTCCCTCTTGTTGACGTTTACGCTGTTGGGCAAAATAAAATAAAATAAATAAAGAAATAATGAATATTCTCAACTCCCCATACCCGTGCAGGTTTCCGGTTGTGCATGCAGTATGCCTATGTATTTATTTTTATTCAATTACAGATGGACTGAAGAAAAATACATCTCTGCCATAGTTATGAGGATATAATGTATCTTAAAGAAATTGCCAACGATAAAGTGTCATGGGTAAATCTATTCTAAATTGTATGTATGTCCTGATAAATGCAACGTAACTATTCACAAGACAACAGAAATTGTATATTATAATTATTATACCATTAAAATTAAGTTTGAATATATATAGTAAGTGACCTTTTGTACTTAAAGTTAACTTCACAATAAACATTTATAGGATAGAACAGAAGGTAAGGTAAGGTAGATACGGCTAGTCCTCCACCAGGGAAAGTTGCATTAAATCTAATTTTACATTCTTTTATAGCTTCATGTTTTTTTAATTAAGTATCAGTCAAAATTCGCAACGTACTCATAGCATAGAGAAAATATTTTCTCTATGCTAATAGGTACGGTAATCGATATAAACAGTGAAACTCAATAATGCCTCCGTGGTGAAACAATAGACGGATAAGATCATCTACTACTAAAACTGATAGCCATATGGATGAATTAGTTTAGACTTACACAGATTGCGTTACATGCAAGAGTTCGCTAGATGTCATTTTTATTATTTTTTTCAATACGTTTGATACGTGTCGCAGTAGAGTATGTATAATACAAATTTTGTAAATAAAATTATTTTTGAAAGCGCGGGATATTTTGTCTATTCCCGCATTGGGAAAAAATAATTAAAACAAATATAAAAAACATAGGAAAACGGGATAGAAAATGAAAAATAAATTCGAACAAAAACAACGGCTATTTCTGCTAACGCCAAAAGCTGATAAAAAAAAATCAAGTACCAAAAAAATACAGGGAAACTAACGTGATGTTAGTAAGACTCGAACTATAGCTGCAACGGTAATAGCGAGGGTGATGTGGAGAACCATTGCGCGATATACTGTATGAGCCCCCACCCTGCGTAGGTCAGTGCATTCTTATTTTATAGTAATTCCACCAGCGCGGATCCAGAGTTTACCCTGACTATCGCACATATGGGTCCCAAAGTGTGTGGGGCCATGAGAAGAGAACGTAATGTGTTCCGTATTTTTATTATTATCCTGTTGAATATTGGCCGTATGAATTTTTATAGTACTGTATTATCATTATTACAGTATTATTATCCTGTTGAATATTAGCCGTTTAAATTAAACTTACGGAAATAATATTAATAATAATTATAATAATACCAAGTTATTATTATTATTTATTATTATTATTATATCCGGTTGAATATTAGCTGTATTAAGTTTCATATAGTACTGTATATATAATTTATCATTGCAATTTAATAGTGAATCTGAGATTTCATTATTCGCAATAGATACCATACCAAGAAAATGTGACTTTTGCAAGAAAGCTGTTTTTAAAGACATATTGTATTATAACTCTTATTATTATGTTCTGTTTCGAAAATTAGTCATGGGATGCCTAATTTGCTCATAAATCCTAATACTTTAGACCATAAAAGGCCGTTATTAAGGAAAGGGGGCCCTTAGCAACGAAAATAGCGTAATCCATACATGTTTCACATTTCTCATTATTATGCATTAAGTATTAATATATTTGACGTGTTCAGACTCTACATGAATACAGTAGTTTAATACAACTGTGTATATTTTTGAGAAAAGAAATGTACACTCATGGTAGTATTAGTGGATTAAATGCACCGTTGCAAAGGGAAAACCTCCATAGCAACCGAAAAATTGATATTTTTGTGGTTTTTAGCTTTTTTTCGTTAATGTGCAAGAATGGAACGTGGGAACAATGAAATTTATTTTCACAACACTAATGGTGACTTAATTAACATAAAAGCAAGTTTCCACGGTGTGTACTACGGAAGTAAAAAAAATAAAGCCGTTTTGAGGTCTCGGGCGACGGCCTACACGGTAATTTATCACGGTTGAATAAATTCAACTGTAAACTTATCTGTGAAAGTTCCTCCCCTGGGCATCCTCTATTTCAAATTCCAGGATCCGCCACTGCATATCAAATGAATTCAATGTTTATTCACGAAAATGGTAACTCCTTTGAAAGCACCTAAAACACACACAGAATACCATTTTAAATTAAAGGTGGCGGCCGCGGTCATGGTTTTTAGCATTATTCGAGAGAAGCCTGGACCCCAGAAGTTCCACTCTGATTGAAGAAGATCCCCAACCCGTTACCAAAGCTGGCTATAGGACAACAGGGTTTTTTTTTTTTCTCTGACTAAAAAATTCCATTTCCTAATAAGCCTCGTAGACTTGAATAATGCTGTATGTGAAAGAATTTAACAGAATAAATATTTATTTTGACACTGCATGAGTGTTCCGGTATTATCTCGTGCATCGAAACTGATTTAAACAAACATTATCATAATGAGTTTCGTCTGCCTTTTAATTACAACAGTTTTCAATTTTATTGCAGATTTAAAGGGACAATCAAGTCTCGTTTCCAGGAATTCGAAATATAGGAGGGGAGGGGGCAGGAAGGTATTTTGACAGATGGAGGGACCGACCACCTCAGCCCCACCATGGTCGGGGCTGAAGTGCAAAATTTCATGATTGTGGCATCTGAGAGATGAAGGTCAAAGTATCTTTGTGAACTGCTGGTGTGGTATGTGCCATCACAAACACTCTGGTCAAACTTCTGCTTGCTGAGCCTAGGTCTACACGTTTATGCGGTGATCGATCATTTGCGATTGGGGCTCACACGTTTGGATAAACTGCCAATAAATATTCACTTGTACCAATCTACTGCTTTATTTACAAAAAGCTCTCAAGACACATCTGTTGTCTGCTGCTTTTTCTTGGTTTTCTCTTTACTTTTGTCTTGCTTGCTTAAATTGTTATACAGTGAGTGAGCACCTGTGCTTCAAATTGCCTGTAAACGGTGCGGTGATTGGATTGGAATTATTCGGTCTAAACACCAAGGATAGCCCACGAAAGTCTAGAAGACTTATTTCCAGTGGGGTCCTTCTGGTGGTGATTGGGCAGTACACCGGGAGACAATCCCCTACTCTTTTCCGAAGAGTGTACTGCGTTCTTTAACGTGCACATGGGCCATAATGCACACGGGACCAACGGCTTAAACGTCTCATCCGAAAGACGGTGCGGTGCGCTAATGTAACTTGTATTTCAGCCCTCTAGCTAAAACACAAGGAGAGGCAGCGATGGGAATTAAACCGGGGACCTAGAGATCTCCACGGTTCAGCGACTACCACCAGATTAGCCGACTGAGCTAAGCTGATCTCTTTTTGTTTTTTTGATGTGTGCGGTGTTTCATTTCTGGTAGCTTTACGGTTCACAGTTAATTTTTGGTTCCTTCCGCCTGCAGCACTTCAACTGCAGTGGATATACGCTTTATAAATCCTTATTATTATTATTATTATTATTATTATTATTATTATTATTATCATTATTACTATTATTATTATATGGCCGGAGATTGCACACCAAGATTTCAATTTGAATATTTTCCTTTTTTGTTTTTGTTTTAGGAGGCCTAGGCCAGCTGCCCCCACCCCCTTGAATCCAGCTACGGATTCATAGCCTAGCCGACTTGACAGTACTGTACTGCAACTGAACTGTGCAACATACCTATTTCACATTTAAAGAGACAATGTAATACTCTTGCTATAAATAAAAGTTGCTATGTACACTTTAATACAATTCACTCACAACATTATATAATGAAAATGCTTTTGAACACATCCCTAAGCTTTGTGTACACTATTATCAAATTTTATGTGACAAAAAAATGTGATGTGCCCATATATGGTTTTTTTGATGAAATTTGATAGTGTAGATAAATCTTTAGACAATTCACAATGTTGGATGTTTTGAATGGATCTATCCTTAATACAACACGTACTGGTCCCAAATCTCCTACAAGCTGCGGGATATTAGTGAGCTTTCGATTTGTGCGACGACGCAACGCTAGAATGGAATCACTCATGCATGATCCTACGTTCTCTGCATACGTAGATTTGGCCAAATTGCGTTCCAGAATCTACTCGACGAGGTGACCTTAATGTTCTCGCATGCGCAGATGACTTTTAGTGACGTCATTATGTTCTACGTTCTGCCGTCGTCGTGCAATTGAAAGCTTCCTATTATGATGGCATTCTGCACTCCCGCAGGCAAGCAATAACCTCCCTGAAAATGAACCATTTTCTGCAAATTCATAATATTTGCATGTTTTTACTACTTTAGTTAGGCGAGACATTTTTTATACCTTATTTCGCGAACTGATTTTTTTTATAGATTGTCAGAGGAGGGTTTTACTAGTTGGTCAGGTATTTTTACTGGTAAAATTGACGGTTAAAACGGCTTCAGGAGAACACTGACGACGGTCGTACGATGCAGTGAGTGCCTTGCTATATGTTATGGATGAATCCTTATTCATATAATGTTATATGCAAGTGAGCTATTGAATGCCTCGACCTATACATGCAGATTACTGAACGCATCCTCAATCCACTGCTTTCTGCATAGTTTATGTATGAAGTTGAATGTTTCATTGATTCTTATCCTACAGTACATGTACAGTATGCCTGCATGCAAACCGATCTATTCTGTTCCCATTCATCTTGACTCATGTGTTAGCATATCTTCTTGAATGGTAACGGCAAACAGGCTCTTGTACGTTTCAGGCAAGCACTTGTTGTAGATGATCTAGCCAGTCTGTCAATGTGGGGTTTGACATGGCAGGCTGATGAGAAAAACAAAACAATTTCAATTACAACATGACATTTAAACTGAGAAATCATTACTATAATTTGACGTTCTAATCATTCATTTGTAATGCACAAACACTATACATTTTTTCTTCTTTTTTCATATTTGAAATTGAATATACATTTTCAAGGGCCATCATTGTATCGTACTACAGTACACCCTCCAATTCGAGACCCCTCTAATTCGAGATCACTTTTCCTAAGACCCAAATAATAATAATAACTTTTTCACACAAAGCTAGCCCTCTATAGCCAACCCCGAGATCACCCCAAATTTTCAGGTCCAAAAGATGGTCTCGAATTGGAGGGCAAACTATTTTTTAATTACTTTTTAAGCATTGCGCAGATTTTACTTTGTATTGGTGGTGTAAAATAAAATTTGATATATTTTTTAGCTCCAATGACGAGTTCTAGAAACACTCGGCTGATTGATTAACAGATTGTTTTTAGATCTACTGCCTCTATTATACTGCCCTCATGAGGCTGATTGATTAACAGATTGTTTTTAGCTCTACTGCCCAGAGCCATAGATAGAGAGAGTTTGGCCAACTCGGTTTCAATCACGTGACTTACACCGGCCATGTTGTCACCAACGCGATAGGGTAGGAAGTTAGCAGTAATATTATAGATGATTAATGCTATAATTATAATCCGACGATTCACAAACCTACTCTGTCTGCACAACCAACCTTTCTCCTCTGCTGCAGTGTTGACTCTTACTTAGGAGCCTCATGGTATATAGAGTAGGCTGCTAGCAACTAGGTATAGGCGCTATACCTAGCTAGGCCTAGAGATGATAGACTTTCAAAACAAAAAGATAATCGTAACGAAAAAAAAATAAAGAATCGTCCTCACTTTATCTTCTCGAAATAATACAGCACGTCGCTGATTAATTAATTCCAAAGTTAGGTAAATATGATTATACAGTATATGATATTTACAATGATATGTTAAAATCCCATAATTGAATTGTCCTCATGAACAGAATAATGAAAGAAAATTTATGCAGCATCAGTGTTTTATAAGATGTTATAAAGCTATACGCGCGCACGCTGTTTGGTGACAACATGGCGCCCATGCGCCAAGTTGGCCAAACTCTCTCTATCTACGGCTCTGCTACTGCCTCTATTATACTGCCCTCATGAGGCTGATTGATTAATAGATTGTTTTTAGCTCTACTGCCTCTATTATATACACTAGGTCTTTTCCACGAATCGGTAGACATCTTGAAGTGATGACAAACATTGCAAATCAGCCGTGCGTAACCAACAGAAATAAGGCCCTCATGAGGCTGATTGATTGATTGATTAATAGTTTATTGATAAATAGATCTTTTTTTACTCTACTGACTCTATTATACTGCCCTCATGAGACTGGTTTATGAATAGTTGATTGATAAATAAATCTTTTATAACTCTATTGCCTCTATCATACTGCTTTCATAGGATGATTGATTAATAAATCGTTTTTAGCTTTACTGCCTCTATTATACTGCCCTCATGAGGAGCTCTAGATACACTAGGCTGATTGATTAATAGCTGCTTGATTAATAGATCTTTTTTAGCTCTACTGCCTCTATTATGCTGCCCTCATCAGAGCTTTCGAGATTATGAGAACTTGTTTACAGTAATTGTACTTTTGTTTATGAATAAGATTGTTTTGATTTCTAAAAGCATCTCAGTCAAAAGTACATGACACTTTTGTACATTACACAATTGCTGGGATTGCATCCTTTATGAAAACACGTTTGAAAGTTTGTTTTGTATATATTCATATTTATGAGAAGGAAAGAAATATAAAATGAGGGTTGTCTAAATTATGTGGAAAACACACCTCATTAAATAAAGTGTTATTAGCATTACAATTACAAAATTCTTAATTCATCAAGAGAAAAATAATTATATGAAATATAAAATGATAAACTTTCAACCATATTTCATAGAAAGGAATCAACCTAGAATTATATTAATATTAGTTAAACTAGAAGTCAAAAGATATTCTGTGTGGTGTGACAAAAATCACAATTTTTTAGCTAACATAAACACGCCACAGCATCGATACATAATCTTAGTGCTTTGTTATTTTGTGTACTTTTTACTACTGCAAGTTCTGTAGCAATGATATCAGCAAATCCTAGTACTTACATGACAGTTGGGCTGTGTCCCCTCAGGCTGACCGGTGATCTTCTGCAGGCTAATTCGACCATTGGATGGATAACCTTGTTCAATTTTCAGCCTACATACAATGTTACCGCAACTGCCAAGCATACATACTAGAACATTCTCATCTTGCAAGAAATCAATGGCAAACCTATTAAGTAAAAACACAGGTTATGAAAGTCTCCCTTTAACAAAAAAAAAAAACCTTAATTCACACAGACAACATGTAAAATGCTCTACTGTTCTGAATATTACTATTCGGAAAATCGTTTTGATAGTGCATTCTCAAAGCAGAAAATATTTAAGTTAGATTAGGATTTATCCTCTCCAAGTTGATCCACGTTTAAAAGATAAGTACATTAAATTTTGAAAATATGATATGCCTAGGACCTACGTTTATTATAAAAACAAAATGATATACTTGTTTAATAAATACAAATACTTACTGGGTTGAGGGGCATGGTTCATAATATAGCCCAAGGTAATCTAGAAGCTGTACTATGGTCTCGGGACATAGTACAGCCGCAGATCACCATGGGCTATATTTTGAACTATGACTCGATTATACCCCATTAAATATTTGTTTTATATACCACTACATAGATTTTAGAAGGCAGGGATAGCACTATTTAACCAATTAAGTGCCTGGAATCTATGTAGTTGGTATACAATAACCTCTATTACCAGTCAATTTTAGGGTCTCTGCAAAAAATACAATTGGTATTATACTTATACATCTGTTAATAAAGAAATAGCAAAAAAAAATGTCTTACTTTTGCCTGAGACTGTTTATCTCTTTAGCCAGTGGCATATGTGAAGTGAATTTCTTATGGATCTCTTGAATCAGGTAAGATATATCATTCGATTTCATGGCTTCTTCTGCTGTTGTTCTGATGTCTAATGTGTCACTCACAATCTTATGTATAAAAACACAATGAGTGTAAAATATATAATAATTAAAATTAAGCAGTAGTGATGGTTTTTGATGGCAGCAATAATTGCCTATAGTGCTGAAGATAGGTAGTGATGGTTTCTAATAGTATTACTATTGGTGGGTTTCAAAGATGATGGTTTCCAAAATTTATGATGTTTTTCAGTGATACAGGTAATGATAATTTCTAACCATGGTAATGAATAGACTAGATTACATAAGAAAGGACAGCAAAGGTTTCACTTATTATATCAATATAAGATATTTAAAATTAACAGAAAATTCTTGGAAATATTTTATCGATCTATGGTACTTAGTGCATCTTACTGTTGGGTTATATTGTTGGGGGGGGGGGGAGATAACTTGAATAAGAAAGATAAGCAACAGTTTGAAAGGATAGAGGAGTGGGACACACAATTGAGTTGAAATGTATGAACCTGAATTCAGTTATGATTTGAGTCCTCTCTCATTTGTGAAACACATAATCTCCTAACCAGTACATCCACTTTACAACGGAATATACATTTTTACCATCGCATTGTTTATTTTTGTACTGCAGTGTACAAAAAAAAAAAATATTTTCAATGATTTCTTTTATATTGAAGTTGATTTCCACTGGTGGTGGTTTTTAAAGTTTGCGGTAGTTTCCGATAATGGTGATGATTTTAATTTTTGGTAATTGAGGCTTACCATCCCAAAAGCAGCGTAACTGTCGCTGATTGTTAAACCTGAGAACAGTTAAATTAACTGTTCCCTGGTTAAACTGAGTAATTAGTATAAGAATATGGCAGTATTGTATACTGTACTTTAAGTACAGAGAAGCCATAATACTTTTACTCGGAACTTTAGCAACATTTATTCAATTTTAGTAAATGACCCATCCATCATTTTAAAGCTTACAATGTGGAGATTTTCATTTTTTTTTTGTCACTGATGCTGGTTTTGGGATTGCAAGCCTCAATTGTTTTCAATAATAGTTGTAGATATCAGTGTGGTGATGACTTTAATTTTTGGTAATTGTTTTCAACAATAATGGTGATGGTTTTCAAAGTGTTGAAAGTGGAGGTTTTTTCCAAATCGCAGTGATGTCATGACAGTGTTTTTACCTTTACATCAGAATACTGATGAGGGTCATTATGGTTTCTGTTGAAAATTAAAGTGACTTTGTCATTCTCAAGATTACTGTAGGGCTTCACATCAACAGACCATGAGTTCCCAGAGAATGAGTTCTCCTTGACTTGAAACAACTTGTTGCTGAGTGATGTATAGCCCTCACACCTAAAATATTGAAGTATACAATTGTAATTATAACTTCATTCAAGTTCAATATACAGTATATGCAGTTAGGTCAAGCATCTTTGTTAGACTTGGTTACTCCACCCTCCAAGTATTAATCGGGACCAATACACACAGATCTGGAGAGTACTTGCATTTCAATTGCATTGTATGCATTTCATCAAGTTTACTATTCTTATATGTGTGTTTTGTCAATTTCCAGATTATGAAAACAAAATAAACTGAACAAAATCACAACATGTAAAATGTGCCTGATAGATATGCCAAGGAAATATTGGATCTAGATCTTTATTATATTATATACAGACCTGGAGACAAAACATGAACAGAGAAATGAATCCTGTCTGAAAAAAACAAAAAACAAACAGTATTAGAATTTAAATGACTAACCATTTTGTATTCTCAACCATTTTCATCCTTTTTTCTTCATTTTCATCTGAAATAGCCTGTAGAATTTTTCGTCCTGTTGTAACAGTACTTTTCATTTGATCTAAATTGGCTTGGCAGTGAGAGATGGTCCTCCGCAATGTTATCACTGATGAAGTGCACTTCTTCAGCGATGCCTCGACACATGTTAATGTTTCTTCCTGACAAAAAACATAAAAATAATGAAGAATAAATACCCTGGCTGATATACAAAAGTCCAACAATTGACTCAAACCAGAGTCCAACAATTGACTCCAACCAGAGTCCAACAACTGACTCCAACCAGAGTCCAACAATTGACTCCAACCAGAGTCCAACAAATGACTCCAACCAGAGTCCAACAACTGACTCCAACCAGAGTCCAACAACTGACTCCAACCAGAGTAAAACAATTGACTCCAACCAGAGTAAAACAACTGAATCCAACCAGAGTCCAACAACTGACTCCAACCAGAGTCCAGCAACTGACTCCAACCAGTGTCCAACAACTGACTCCAACCAGAGTCAATTGTCTGACTCCAACCAGAGTCCAACAACTGACTCAAGCCAGAGTCCAACAATTGAGTCAAACCAGAGTCCAACAACTCACTCAAACCAAAGTCCAACAACTCACTCAAACCAGAATTTATCAATTGACTCAAACCAGAGTCCAACAAAATGACTCAAACCAGAGTCCAACTATTTACTCTAACTAAAGTCCAACAACTGACTGCAACCGGAGCCCAACGATTTACTCGAACCAAAGTCTGTACTTGCCTGTCGTTTCAACACATCAGAGATCTTCTCAGACTTGTTGAAAGAATTCAGCTTGCATTTGGCAAGACATTCAGTATGATATTTGTATATTTCTTCATACTTTTCCTTCTGAAATGGAAAAAAAAACACAAAGTATGAACAGATTAAAAAAAAAAATATTTTGGCATGTGTTAAGCTAATAAAATTGTAAAATAAAATTTAATATTTTTAAATACTGTATTAAAAAATGCTTTGTATACTGTATTAGAGTATGTTAACAAATATTTCAAACAATATTATTAAAAAGGTTTTCTCAAGTACAGAGCCTAGGAGCATCTTCTAGCTCAAAGCCTATAATCAAAAACATCTCTAAATCCAATAACCTCATAATCAAAATCATTCCCAGGCTCAAATCTTCATTATAAAATGCATCCCCATACCCAAAGACCAAATACTCAATAATAAACAAAATGTTTGGCATACCTTTGATTCAACTGATGTTAATTTTTGCTCCATGGTTGATATCTTATCTTGTAATACAGTACTCTCTATGAACATAGGAATCAGCAGAATATTATGAAATAAATACAACTGCGTATACAGTTACAGTAAACCAAAAAAAGTGCCACAGCATTAACCATTTTTAAGAGGATGCTTATTCAAGAGTGACTCAGAAATAATAAGACTTAGAAGAATTATGGCATTGTTCAATTATCAAGAGATACAGAAGAAAATAAGCTGCTATTAACTGTAAATGTGTTACTTTTAGTTTGTCAATAAGACAATTCATAGTTTTAAAACTGCGCATGACATAAGCACACATACACAGAACGTAGGTTTATGTCGATTGACCTTGGATACAGGCATCCACAGTTCAAACTACGGATTGGCTTACTGAGATATTGTTTGCTCCACAAATAATCAGTATGGATATTGGAGATGGGTGCTAAATAATAATTTATTTGATCAGATATGTCTGCAAAAAAGTACACACCATCACAAAAGGGTGATCACACTTTTTTGTTGAGACAAAAAAAAATCTGACAGTATGTATCCAGCAGTTTTACAATGAGACATTTGATAGAATGTTGTTACTACCTTCTTGAGCTCTCTCCACAAGTTCTAGGATCTCATCTTCCATATCAACTAAATCCATATTTACTTTCTTCTTCTCTTCATGCACCTTACTGTATTCTTCATCTAATACAAATCAATTTTTAATTTAATAAAATAAAATTTCTTTTTCCCCAAAGTGTTTTTTTTTTCAATACCATAAAAGACATATGGGCAAGGGCGATAACTAATCATTTTTTTTTTATTGGGCCTGATATACTTACTATTGCATTTTTTAAAAAGCATGTAGAGCATTAATTACTTTGTTTATTTTCACAGTTGAACTTGCCTAAGTCGAATCCAAAATGCCATTGAAACATTGTTTGACATAAAATATTGTTCAAAATAAAATTTGACTTACAGATTGTTAATTAATGGAAAACACAACAATTTGGCATGTAAAATTAGATCAACTTAGAAATTATTTGACTTTAATAGGCAAAGTCGACTTAGGCAAGTTTAACTTTTATAGCAGCCGAATACTGCAACTTCAGAAAAATCTATAAAATGTAGATGGTTCTGTATCATAACGGCTGTGTGATTTAGCTTAGGTTTGTTTACCTTTGGCTGAGAGTGTTGGCCAGTTTTCTTCATTGACATTCAAGAGAAAGTCAAGAATCTGTAGTTTAGTTTGCAATGTTTGAGAGTCTGGTTTCAACTTGCTATATTCTTGCTAGAATAAACAAAGATTCAAAGATATAGGCCTAAGTTAGATAAGCTAAAATAATATTAATAAAAACACATAACCAATAATAACAATAGTTGTTTAGTTTTCAACCAATAACCAGCAAGTCTCACTCCCCAAACATATATATAGAGTCCCCAAGGATAGCAATTCTAAAATAAACCCTCTATTTATGATTGTCATTGTAGTCTAACCCCGATATTCTTAAAACCAACTTTAGTCGTAGTTCGAGCTAAAACTTAAAAACTACGTCATTTCGTATTCTTAAAACGAACTTCGACTATCACAAACTACGACAAATGACATGAACCTAGACTAAAACGATATCTCCGCAGGCCGATTTTTTTAGTCAGCCTAGGGTCAGGCTAAATCGACTTGAAATATTTACCCCACTAAAAACGTGTTTTTTGTAACTCAAGATAAAGTGAAACGAATAAAAATGATTGTATATGCAGGTTTGATATATCTTCGGTGTGTTAAACAAAAGAGACATCAAGTTTAGCTTTCAGAAGGAGAAATTAAAATGTTTTGCTAGCCACATGCGATAGTTTCTGATTTGCATGAAATCCCCTCGCGTTGCGATCACGTAGCTTCACAATTAACAACAACAAAGATGGCGCCGCCCTTGCTCGGGCTCAACTATAATAGTTCTCCAAAGAAAGCAAATTTTCAGTGTTCAAATTCTCTATCGTAATATGTTAACAACTAATATAGTAATTATTATAGAAAATTAATGAGGCGAATGATGTTCTATTATGAATTATGAGGAAATACGTTTTTGAACCACAGACGGCAGCTTAATATTCATCCACGTTACTGGATCTCTAAAATTTCGTCTGCTATTAAAGTTAGCCCTTTTCATTGGTTAGTTTGATAGTCGTGGCTTGCCAGTCGTCTTCAGTTGAACTAAAACTAGGACTTGATTTAGTCGTAGTTAAAACTTTGACTACATTGTTTGTGGATACAAATTGAAGTTAAAGATGCAACTAGCAATAAATGAAGTTCTAGGTCGAAGTTCGACTAAAGCTTGTTTTAAGAACACGGGTGTTAGTATTGACTAACTTTAGAGAGTGCTAATTTAGCTTTCCTTGTACTACAATCATTCTTTTCACTGTCGTCTCCACTAAATTTTGAAAGAACCTTCAGCTGTTGGCATCCTTCTTGACATGACCTGTTAAAATAAAGCATATTCAAGGTTTAAGATAGTTAACAGGCCTAGTCATTAATTAAAGGGACATATCCGATTCCTAGTCAGCAGTAGTAGTAGTAGACAGCTTCTCCTATAGGGGTTCACTCTGATTGGAAATATGCCTAGGCCTACATAAAATAGGGCCTAAATATGAATAAGAATCTAAACAAATCATAGGCCTAGTTACCCCTGAACTAAATGGAAAGTCATTCAAAAAGTAGGTGTACAGAAATGTAAACAGTCACACTGTCACGGATGATGACTGTACAAACATGTCATGATTGTGGTATAAAAATTCAGCCTATAGAAAACTGTTTAAATTTAAAAGCCTTAGTTTAGGCTATCATTTCATCTCCCTACCTTGTCCTTGGTGGTGGCAGCAGCCGAGGGGGTGGGGAGGGGGATGCAGCAGGCTATTAGGTCTAAATCGGAGAAGCACGTGAGAGCTACAGTAGGCCAAGTATATGAGCTTGCTTGATGGAAGCACTACGCATGCATATCACTAAGCAGATTTCCATGGAAGTTTGGAAAAGTGCAAGCAAAAAGAAGACAAATTGACAGACTGATCATAGAAAAAGAAAATATTGATTGATTGAATAATAACTGATTGATAAAATTTAATTAAATTCAATATCAAAACAAAAATTAGGCCTAAATAAGAAAATGAATACATGTAGTAAAAAACTAGGTCAAATTCATGGTTGACAAATTTTCACGTAACACACTCACACGCGCCGCCACCTCGGTCCTCAGAGTTGTGTGGTTGGAGGTTCAATTTTTATGTAATTTATAGCATGATCTATAAAAAATGAAACCTTGATGGTAGACCTAAATTACCGGTAGGCGATTTTTTAATTACCAAAACAGACAGTGTTAACTGAATGCCAGGCCTAGTGTAGGCTAGTAGGACCAGACCCGGTTTGACAGCACTAGGACCTACACACCCGAAACCGCGGCTACTCTAACATGTAAAATTCCCGGCCCTTCCGAGGCCTGTTACATTTCCAGGTAAATTTAAGGTACGTCCCGGCACTACAGGGACACAACTATGTGTACATCCCTGTCTCAGTCCCGGCTAGTTACCCGCTATGGCCCGGGTCCGGGGAGGGGGGGGGGGGGGGCGAGACAACAATTGACAAGTTCAAAATAATAATTAATGTTTTCGTCTTTTTGGAACAAAACAAAGAATTGATACATTTTTTTAATGTTTAAACTTTAATTTCAATAAAAAATTACCATGCATGTAGGCCTAGGCGTTGTCACACGTGTACGGCCCAGGGTCGCTAGGCCTATATATTATATAGCCTAGCCTAGGCCTATAGTGACGTGCCGCTGCCCCGGTGATTGGTTGTAAATGACGTCACCTATACGTTGCAGCCAATCACCGGGGGAAATCCACGCACCCTTGGAAGACCCCATGGGGAACCCCGCACGGAGTGCGGAGAAAACCAAGAGAACGACAGATACACGACGAAGACCTTGAAGATAACATACAGACCTACTTATCACCAATACTTAGAGTGTTAATTCACCCGCTAGTGAATGGTGAGTATGTCCACTTTGTCGTATATAGGCCTAGTATCTCAAGTAGTGTAAGAATCTATAGAGACCTAGCAAATCTCTATAATATACTATATAGGCGGGGCAGGCTATAATTAGGCCAGCTACTACTAGCCTAGCATAGTACTCTAACTATAGTACTACTCTAAGCTATAATTAGGCTAGCTACTACTACTACTAGGCCTAGCCTAGGCTAGGCCTAGTCTAGATAGATGAATATATATAGCCTTATAGTAGGCTAGGCCTAGGCCTAGATGCCTAACACTAGCTCTCCTAACCTCTAGGCTAGGCTAGAGGCCTAGGCCTAAGCCCGAGGTTAGGCCCGTCTCTGATGAATGCTTAATGAGAATTACAATTTATTTCCACTGTACCTTCGAAATATAGTAAGTTTCTCATCAGAAACGAAACCAGTTACCACATCTGCCATTGTTGTCTTTTTTGTGATGGTCGTTAAGTTTGATTTTTACCGCTTTACGCATGCTCAGTTCTGAATATCGATAGAGGGCTTTTTTTAATCGCTGGACCTTCTTTTCCCCTGCCGGCGGTGCTAAGGCCCCACCCCCCGCCCAGTGGCGTAGCGCCTATGCGCTCTCATGCGCCGGTCCGCAGGGCCTCCGAATTCTAGGGGCCCTACCCATAGGTTCCTCGATCTAGTACCCTGACTAAAAAGGACTTTGTTGATAACCATCTCTGACTCGAAATCGACTGTGGGGATATCATAACGATAGAGGGGGCCCCGTCGACCCGACGGCCTCACCCCCCCCCCCCCCTCTCGGCCAGGGACCCCACCAAGTTTGTCAAAAAAATAAATAAATAAATAAAAAATGGTGATAAAAAGAAAATTACATTCACAATTTTAAGTCTGTGAGTGCAATCCGGCCCTCTAGACGTCGGTGCCAAAATAATACATTTTCTTATCTCAGTCCCACAAGGGCATAATGTGAGACATATCATATTATATCCAGTAGCGGAATAAAGAGTAAGGGGCTGTATCCGCCCCTGACTCCTATGATAATTCTTGAGGAAAACTCAAATCATAATAGCATTTGTAGTGGTTTTCATCTGGCTAGATAACGTGGAGGTCGTGGGTTCGATTCCCACTCGAACCAATTTTTAAAATTCTAATTTGAATATTTTTATAATCTATTTTTTGAACAAAAAAATCACAGTCGAGTAGATAAAAATCACCTTATTTTGCGAATTAGCGCCCCTCAACTGATAATCGAGCCCCTCCCCCACCCCACACTTCACCTTCGCTCCCCCATCAGCACCAACACCCTCGTCCCCAAATTCTAGCGAAAAAAATTCGCAAGTGATTCACTTGCGATTCGCAAGTGATTCACTTGCGAATTTTTTTCGCTAGTATTTGGGGACGTACTGAGTATTCAGTACGATTACACGTCAGGTAGGGCAAAACATGTCTCCCATGATAACTTCCGCAGACGCAAACACATATCCGAATAAATCAATAAACAAACGAACAAAGAATTAAACAACAATTAAACATTTACAATAAAGAACAAAAGTGAAAAAGTAATGAATAAAAAAAAAAAAATACTCAGCGCAAAGTCTGAATACTACAGCAGTGCACATTATTTAAATTCAATTAATTACTTACCTGATACTTCCAATATTTTAATTGATTTTATTTTGAAGTTGGTTTAAGCAGATTTTATGACAGATATATTCGCACTGTATATTATCTTTAAACTAACTGAGATGTCCGACTGGGGGGTGGGGGGTTAAGTATTTATGGGTGTAACTATAGCGCGCAGCGTTTGTTGTCTGAGGGCGAAGGCTAGAGCCAGGGGTGGGTATAATGGGAGGGGGTGTCTCCCTAGATGGCCGGAAATGGCTGGGATGGTAAAATTAGGCCTATATATATTTTTTTTTTGGTCGAACTGCCCGACGAGCTTTGGCCGATGGGCGGGCTTGACCTGACCACCTGACCAATGGGGGACTTAAGCTGTC